GAGTTTCGAAAACCTCATAATCTCGAAAACTTGCTGTTTGAAAAACATCAGAACATCGAAAACTCATGAAACATATATAAGCAGGGAATCATTTAGAGATCCTTATAATGTAAAGCTTCGATGAACTGCAAAGGATGTCAAGATTCGAATTATGAGTTCCAAGAAACTGCAAACTTTGAAAGATTCAAAACATCGAGAAATTTTGAAAATCTCGAAATCTTCAGAATGTCGAGATCCAAAACATCGAGATCCCAAATGTCGAAATCCCAAAACTCGAAATTCCTAAACTCGAAATTCCAAATCTCGAGATCACAAATCTCGAGATCTTGATTTCGAGATTCAAATCTCGAGATCTTGATTTCGAGATTCAAATCTCGAGATCATGATTTCGAGATTCAAATCTCGAGATCTTGATTTCGAGATTCAAATCTCGAGATCAAGATGTCGAGATGCAAATCTTGAGATCAAGATTTCGAGATTCAAATCTCGAGATCAAGATGTCGAGATGCAAATCTCGAGATCAAGATGTCGAGATGCAAATCTCGAGATCAAGATGTCGAGATGCAAATCTCGAGATCAAGATGTCGAGATGCAAATCTCGAGATCAAGATGTCGAGATGCAAATCTCGAGATCAAGATGTCGAGATGCAAATCTCGAGATCAAGATGTCGAGATGCAAATCTCGAGATCTCAAATGTCGAGAAGAAGAAATCGAGTCCCTAAATGTCGAGATCCTGCAAAACGAAAACATTGATTTTTGAAAATCTGAAACCTGTTCTGAATAGCCCTGAAAGTCGAGATTCTCCTGTACCAGTTTCAAGCCAAAAACGTTTCTGCAGCAGTGAAAAAAGAGGATTTCGAGATCTCAATGTAGAGATCTTCGAAAAACAAAAATTGCAGAAAACGAAAAAAGAGGTATGCTGCTGAATCGGTTTTGAAAGGCGAATCCAACAGTATGATTTTTACAAAATTTCGTTCACAAACGAGATTACAGGAGCAAATCTCTACGTGTAGAAAAACAGAAGAAAAAACAGAGTAGTTCTTCGTTAGATCCAAAAAATCGCAGACAGATCCAACCTGTTTCACGCCTCGGCTCTGATACCAAATGTTAGTCCCAAAATACTAACAATCATACAACCATAGCATTGATAAAGAAGCAGATAGAAAGAAACCGATAAGATTAAACGTGTATCTGGTATACCGTATGAACCTGCCGCTACTCTCCCTGGAGAAGGAGAGCAGCGGCAACCCTAATATCTCTCTATCTCGCCTCTGCGCCTCTAAGCCTCTATCGATCAGTTTGGGTTCCCGTAAGTTAGCCTCCTTTTATAGGAGAAGTTGGCTAACTTACGGGTTACAAGGAAGCCCACGGGCTGATACACATTTGTGGCCCGTATTACACTTTTAATTAATAACTACATAAATACAAAGATAACTAACTAGATTGAACACCATAAAATATTCCCAACAGTGTCCATGTTGATGTCTGGGGCCTTTCCAGTATCTCTACCCATGGTGGTAAGAGATACTTCATGTCTATTATAGATGATTTCTCTAGGAAAGTTTGGGTTTGTCTCTTACAATACAAGTCTGATGTAGTTGAGAAGTTTAGGGAGTGGAAAACCCTAGTTGAAACCCAGTCTGATCTTAAGGTTAAATCCCTTAGAACTGATAATGGCCTAGAGTTCTGTAATAGGAAGATGAATCAACTGTGTGTTGACTGGGGAATAAAAAGGCACAAAATTGTGCCCTATACTCCCCAGTAGAAAGGTGTAGCTGAGCGTATGAATAGAACCTTACTTAATAAAGTAAGAAATCTCCTTGCCACCTCTGGTGTGTCTAAGCAATTCTGGGATGAAGCAGTTAACACTGCTGCGTATTTGATAAATAGGTCCCCTTCTGTTCCTCTAGGAGGAAAGTGTCCTGAGTCAGTTTACTCTAGAAAGCCCCTAGACTTATCCAACCTTAGAGTGTTTGGTTGTGCTGCCTATGTTCATCAGCAGCTGGATAAGTTAGATCCTAGGTTTAGGAAGTGTGTCTTTCTAGGGTATCCTGAGGGGGTAAAAGGTTATAGGCTGTGGGATAGAAACCAGGTGGGTTTTAAGGTAGTGATCAGTAGGGATGTAATTTTCAATGAGTCTGAATTCCCCTCTCTGTCTAGTCCTACCACACAACTAAGTTCTGAGTGTTCAGTCTGAGGTGGAGTCTACTCCTGCTGCTACCATTCCATTGTTTGACAATGTTAATGATTCTTATGCTAACCTACATGGTAACACCTCTTCTAGTGGGGTGGAGTCTTCTCATGATTCTGATTTACATGATAATACTGAACAACATGATTCTATGGAGCATGATATACCTGATTTGCATAACTATCAACTTGTTAGAGATAGGAGTAGAAGGACTGTTAAAAAGGTGTCTGATTGTATGCATGATTATGTGTTTCATGTGCATGATACCTCCCTATTTGCTTACTCTGTGTTTGAGACCCTTGAGTTGAATGAGCCCAAAACCTATCATGAAGCCCTTACTTCTAAGGTGTCCCAGAAGTGGCTTGAGGCCATGAATAGTGAGATGGAGTCTCTTAGAGTTAACAAAACCTGGACCTTGGTCCCTAGACCTCCCAATTATTCTGTTGTAGAATGCAAGTGGTTATTTAAGGTTAAGGAAGAACCTCAGAGTGTGAGATTTAAGGCTAGGTTAGTGGCAAAAGGGTTTACTCAAAAAGAGGGGGTAGATTATGCTGAAATTTTTGCTCCTGTGGTTAAGTTTAATACTGTTAGGATCATACTTGCTTTAGTTGCTCACTTTAATTGGGAAATGAAACAGATGGATGTGATCACTGCTTTTCTGCATGGTGATCTTGATAAAAATATCTATATGACCCAACCTGAAGGGTTTGTGGATCCCAAGAAAAGTGATTATGTGTGTTTGCTAAGGAAGGCCTTATATGGTGTGAAGCAGTCTCCTAGGCAATGGAATAATAAGTTTGATCAATGCATGAAATCTATGAAATTTGTTAAGTCTGCTTGTGATCATTGCTTATACTATAAGGATACCTCCTTTGTGCCTGTATTCTTATTACTTTATGTGGATGATATGTTAATTATCAATCATAACCTTGATCCCATTGTTCATGTGCAAAAGTGCCTCTGTGAAAATTTTTCCATGAAAAACCTAGGGGATGCTAAGAGGATCCTAGGCATCAATAACATTGGGGATAGAAGCAAGTCTACTATATTGTTAAACCAAGTTTCTTATGTAGAGAAGGTTTTGAGTAAATTCAACATGCAATCTGCTTCCCCTGTGAATGTTCCTTTAGCATCACATATTGTGCTAAGTAAGGATCACTCCCCCAAGACTCATTCTGAAATAAGTGATATGAAATCTATTCCTTATTCCAGTGCTATAGGATCTGTTATGTATCTTATGGTCAGTACTAGGCCTGACATTGCTTATGATGTTAGTTGCTTGAGTCATTATATGTCAAATCCTGGTATACCTCACTTGAATGCTCTGAAATGACTTTTGAGATACCTCAAATCAACTGTGAATCATGATTTGTCTTTTGCTAAGTGTTCTGATGGTACTGTGTTGCGTGGATATGTGGATTCTAACTATGCTAATGATAGGGATAATAGGAAGTCCACCATTTCTTATGTTTTTACTTTGTGTGGGTCATGTATTAGTTGGAAGTCCTAGTTGCAACCCATTGTTGCCTTGTCCACCACTGAGTCTGAATAGCTTCCTTAAAGGACCTTTAAGGAAGCTATTTGGCTTAAAAGGCTTATCAGTGATTTAGGTTTTCTTAAACAGAGAATTACAGTTTTTTCAGACAGTCAGTCTGTCATACAGCTTTGCAAGAACCATATGTTCCATGACAGGATCAAGCACATTGATGTCAGATTCCATTTCATTCGAGAAATTGTGGAGGCATGTGATATCATGCTGGAGAAGATCCCATCAGAGTTCAACCCTGCTGATATGGGGACAAACTGCCTTTCTGCTGTGAAGTTACTTTCTTGTAAACGAACATTAAATCTGGATTGTGATTAGATATTGTTTGTTTTGCAGGTGGTTTGGTCCATGGAGTGCTGTTTGCACTCCTGGACTTTGCTCTGAGAACATGGTGTTCTCTGGGCATCCGGTTTGTCCCTTTGATCCTTCTGGATCAGGAAAGTGTGCATCACACTTTTCAATTTGTGTTTCTGGGTCCTATGTGACCCAGGGAGTGTCTTTTTTGGATACCTCTAATTGTTGGCCTAAGATATCCTTGGATGTCTTGGGCAACCATCGATGATGAGTCTTTCCCATGCCACATTTTTTTTCTCTACACCACATAGGATGTCTTACCGCAGATTATTTAAATAATACTACGTATATAAATAAAATAAAATGCGGCAGTTGCGGGTTGGTAGCATGAAACACCACGCATCTCCGGGTTATTTTAAACCAATAATGCTTCTTGTACACGCCATTGTACACAACATTTTACACGCCGATCAAAATGTCTATGTACAGACAATTTGACCGGCATTTTATGAAGAAACCCGCTTTTCGCACAAACAAATTGGCACAAACATTTTTTTTGTCGGTGCCACATACAATTATTTTTTGTCTGTGCAAAAACCGGTTCTTTTCACAAAGCGCCGGTCAAATTGTTTGTACACAGGACAATTTGACCGGCATTTAAAATGGCGTGTACACTTAGCCTAATGCCCCAAATAACCAAATTGGTGTTTTTGCACTAGTGAACCCCTAGTATTACCACATACTCCGGGAGCCTTTTCATGTTTGGTCAATTCTGATTTCTCTTCGGGCATGAAAGCGTATTTTTGGGAAGGTATTAGTTATACGTTGAATGCCATAACACAATGTTTGAAAAGATTTTAGACCAAAGGTCCTTAAGTTTCGCATCTTTAAGGTCTTAGATTAAAGCTTCTGTTATTTTAACACTACAAATTTGCATGCATGCATCCTAGGCATTTCATGCTGTTTGTTGTTCATCAACACAGGCATTCCCAAAAAAACATTAAACAGATCGAATATATATAGTAATAAGGAAATATAGATCTCAAAATCTACATAGTCTAAAAAACTAGCAAAGATTGATCATATCATCTGATCTTCCAGATCTATCATATCATATCCCAAGACCTCTTTCAGTGGTGCAAAAAAAGTAGCATCAAGAGAAGAGAAAAACAAACTCAAAGAGCAAACTAATAAGTGTTTGTACAGTGCGGTAAGGAATTCTTTTCTTCTATATATGATCTTGTAGCATGCATTTTGTGTTAATTTGTTTGTTTGTTTTAATAGAATGTGATCTAATTAATCACACTTAATTAGGTGTTTAATTAAGTAATTTCTCCTATCTATTAGATTCAATGGAGGGTGCCCCTCACAAAGGAGATAAGACAGAATTCTCAGAATGCTGGAAAACAACATGGGAAACGCCGTATATCATGCGTCTCGCCTTATCGGCTGGCATCGGAGGGCTCCTTTTTGGTTACGACACTGGTATGTACGCCGCATTACTCTACATACAACTCGGTCGTCTATTAGGACGTTCAAGCTAGAAGTGCTACTACACTAAGCCTTCTAATTTAATTAGCTTTAAAATTCTAGAAATAAAATCTACTCCGTATATAATTAATACTCCTATATAAACACAAAAACTATTTTATTTTATTTGTTTAAAAATTCTTATTCTAATATTTTCGTTGAAGATATGATCGTGAAATAGTACTCATACTAGAGAATGATGAAAGTACAAAGGAATTGTAGTAGAGCAATGTGGTTGATAATATTTAACGAGTAAATTGTGAGCAAAGTGATACTCTAATTACTCCCTCCGTCCCGAATTGAATTGCAAACTTTGACCGTCACAAGGATTAAAGAATGATAATAAATGATGCTTGCGTTTTACACTTTGACCATCTTTCTAAAAGTAGATGTCTTTAAATTAATGGGGAAAGAGTAAAAGTAAGGGTAAATTTGTCACTTTATTCTTATTTACATACCAAAAATAGAAAGTGAAAAACCATTTTGGGACAACCAAAATAGGAAATTTTGCGAATCAAATTGGGACGGAGGGAGTATTACGGTATTGTAATGACCGGTCCCTTTAAATTATTCAAATACTAATTAGTGTAAATTATATATGTGGCATTGGCGTGTCTGAATGCAGGTGTTATCTCTGGTGCCCTACTTTATATCCGAGACGACTTCAAATCCGTTGAGAAGAACACGTGGCTTCAGGTGACTTTAATGTGACTCGGTCAACAATAATCATATTTTTTTTGGAAGGAACAATAATCAGATACTACGTATATATTTACTCTTGTTATATTGATGTGGATTATGAGATTAATTGAAAATAGTAAAATTCATTTATGATATTTTAAAATGGTTAATACTTATTTACTTTCATCGAATTAATTTATTATACATACAACTAAATCATTTTAAATCAAGTATTACCAAATTTCCCTTGCATACCCGAAATCTTTAAAATAATAGTTTTTGTAATTTGACTTTTTAATTGAACCTAAAAAGGTTTAAGTTGAGTCTTGAAAACAGTGAAAAGTGAAACTACTTGTTACAAGTAAAAAGGAACAAGAGAAAGACAAATTTGTACCTATGTTACATTTTTAGTTTAATGCGGTTAGTATGTGGTGCGGTGGTTGTATAAATAATACTAGGTAATACCTTTTAATCCTTTTTAATTTGAAAATATTTCACTTAGACTTATATATATACGGAGTATTATGTGGTATTTATGCAGTGGCCAGTGTATGACTTAAATTTAATCATACTAATATATTTTAAGACGCATATACATGTAAATGGGAGTATTTCATTTTTAATTAGTGTTACATTAATTAGTAATCAAAATTTTACTATCTTCATCTCGTTTCAATATCATCAGTTAGGTTAAGTAATACGATCTCATATATTTTATTCATTCTTTTATAGATGCAACGTTGCATTTTTACGTTTGTCAATGCACAAGTGGAATATATACTACATTCTTTCTTAAATAGTTGCAAACATTAAAAATTTACACTATTCACATGCTCTACTTTGACTACATTTTATTTCCGAATACGTTAAAACTTATTTTTAAAAATATACTCCCCCTGGTCCTTATTAAACTTTACGGTTTGACTTCACACATATTAATGAAATAAATTTGACTTTACAGTAGAGTGTACTGTTTGACACTGTTTGACACTGTTTTGCACTGTTTAGTGTAGATTTGTTTGCCAAATAAGGCAAATAAGGAAGTGTAAAGTTTAATATGGGACGGCCCAAAAAGGAAAATGTAAAGTTAATTAAGGACCGGAGGGAGTAATTAAACTCTTCTCGATTTAAATTTTCAAAATGTGTAATTTTTTTGAAATTTATACCATTGAAGAATTTAAATATATTAATGATCAAAGTTGTGCATTGAGAAACATAAAAAGGACAACGTTGCAACTAATAAAGAACCGAGGAAGTATAATTTTATAGAGTTAATTATGTTGTGGATATGTATGTATAGAGGAACGATCAATCCAATGCAAACTGTGCTTATTGTGGAAACATTTGTACGATGCTTCTTCACGTTATTTGTTTTTGTATTGCATATTGAGGTTTAAAATGTGGCATATTATTCTGTAATGAAATAATACGTGCATATTAATGTTCAAAGAGTTGCATCTGAAAAAAGTTTGGTTTTATTACCAAAATGTCATCGTGCGGTTCCAACCTTTAGATCAATTCAATGGATGATCAAGATGAGTTTGTAATTTGTAAGTTAGGCGAAGTTTGTATTTGATCACTTACCTATATACATAGGAAACGATCGTGAGCATGGCGGTAGCCGGAGCAATAGTTGGAGCAGGAATGGGTGGGTGGATGAATGACAAGTACGGGCGGAAAAGATCAATTCTGATAGCAGATGTAGTGTTCTTCTTTGGAGCAGTGGTGATGGCCGCTGCTCCGGGGCCATGGATGCTCATCGTCGGGAGGTTGCTGGTGGGATTGGGGGTAGGGATGGCGTCGATGACTTCTCCCTTATACATCTCCGAGGCGTCGCCTGCCCGAATAAGGGGTGCCCTCGTCAGCACTAACGGCTTGCTCATTACTGGAGGCCAGTTTCTCTCCTACCTCATCAACTTAGCCTTCACCAAGGTACCTATACCTACATATGTCGTGTATAATATAGGGAAAATTCTCGAAATATCAGTAAAAAAGATTGAAAATTCCAAAATAGGACTACCATGTTTTTATTCCCAAAATAGGAGTGATTACTGCCAAGTTTGGAAAATACTGTCATGTTCAAAGTCTGGTATTGCCAAAACATGGCTGTAATTAGTCCTATTTTGGGAATAAAAACATGATAGTCCTATTTTGGGAATAAAAACATGATAGTCCTATTTTGGAATATACAAACGTTTTTATTCTTATTTTGGATAATTTCTCTATAATATACTACATTTATCCGACTAATATTGAGACATGAAAAAGTTATGCCATTATTAAGAAAAGTGGATTTATGTGGTTGATATTGAATTAATAAATTAATACTCCCTTCGTTCCTGAAAGAATGTCCTACTTTAGGAAAATGGGAATCCTACTATCCACAAAATAAAACCAATAATGTTTATATTTTAAAAAAAATGTGTTATATTTTACTGAGATTTTCCACTAGTATGTTTGATGTTGATCGAGCTTGGTTGTTGCTGGTGCAGACTAATGGAACCTGGCGGTGGATGCTTGGGATAGCGGGCCTTCCCGCGGTGGTTCAATTCGCCCTAATGTTGTCCCTCCCTGAATCCCCTCGATGGCTCTATAGACAGGTACGCATATAGATCCCACATTTAAATCAAATGTTTGGTGTTATGAGTGATGGTTTGTTAACTTTAACCGTTAATTAGTCTGAATTATTTTTAACATCAATATTATTTTGAGTAGTATATATTATTGAAATGTTACTTTATTATAAATTTTATAAGTGTATATTTTTACATATCAATTGTCAACTGTTATGAAATGTTGACTATAAACTTAATTAAGGACGGAGGGCAAGGATTGAAGGAATATATGTTATGATGAATAAAGAATTGTTTCAAATAGGAATATAACATTACCAAATTTTGGATGTTTTCTTTTGGACTGTTTTCGGTCCCACACCAGACCAAACCAGATAAGACTTAAACAAACTAGATCAGACAGACTTGGATAGTTATCAAATACACGGAGATCAGACGTTTAACAGACCAGATTTAAACACACCAGATCAGACCAGATCAACAATTTTCAGTCTCAAAGAAATCATTCTTACAAATTAGGCCAATTAATGTTACATCAGGTACATTAAATGGCCTGATTATTACGTTTTATAGTGATCAAGGCGCAGCTAGAGGGGTCAATCTATGTCCGGCTCATCCCAAATTTAAAAATGTCTATATTTTTAGTAAATATTTCCTCCGTTCTTTTTTAAATCCAACGTCCCATTTTTCACGTTTGTCAACGTACATGTTTGACCATTAACATCTTTCATACTTTATTAGTAAAAAATTAAAAAAAAAAGATTTTGAAACTTTAAAATGAGAGGAATTTGACAATATTTTTTTAAAATTTAATTTATAATACATTAATAAATAAAGTAGAACTCAAATAAGAACATGCGAGTACCGGAAGAAGTTCAAGGTTGCATTTAGAAAAGAACCGAGGAAGCACGAACTCAGTAACATTTTATTAAAAAAATCCAATTTTTTTTGTACCTAATAGGCTAATAGTGATGGTTCTAATATTATGATTGTGTTTAGAACAAGATATCTGAAGCGAGGGCAGTCCTGGACAAGATCTATACCACAGAAGAAGTTGAAGAAGAAATGAGGGCACTTCAGACATCCATCGAAGAAGAAAAGGCAGAAGAGAGAGCGATCGGGAGCGACATGATCTCTAAAGTCAGGAGCGCGTGGGCGAACCCCATCGTCCGGCGAGGCCTGTACGCCGGCATCACGGTGCAGGTGGCGCAGCAGTTTGTCGGCATCAACACCGTCATGTACTACAGCCCCTCCATCTTACAGCTCGCCGGATTCGCCTCTAACAAGACCGCCCTCGCGCTGTCCCTGATAACCTCCGGCATCAACGCCATCGGGTCAATCATCAGCATGTGCTGCGTTGACAGGTACGGCCGGAGGAAGCTGATGATCATCTCCATGGTGGGGATTATTGCCTGCTTGGTCGTTCTCTCCGGCGTGTTCAAGCAGGCGGCCACCCATTCGCCGCCGGTCAGCATGGAGCAGTCCACCGGCTTTGGCCTCAACTCCACTTGCCCCATGTTCTGGAAATCCTCCCGCGCCTCCGCTTGGGACTGCATGTCCTGCATTAGCGGTCCTGCCGACTGCGCATTCTGCGATAACCGAGCCAACAAAGTAAGTCCTATATACAAATAGCACTCTATTTCTCCCGAATAGAAACGTTAATAAATTTCAAAATTGAACTATCAATTATTGTCGTATTTTGATATAGTACAAAAAAATATTTTTTTTTGTCCCGAATGAAACTATCTTTGAACTATCTTTTAACCAATAAATCATAACTTATAGACCCCCTCGAAAATAATTACAAATGGAACTATCATAATTACATAGATTTTGAACTATCTTTTAACCAATAAATCATTACTTATAGACCCTCTCGAAAATAATTACGAAAATGCCACCGCGTCCAAATAACTCCAGAAACCTGGAATTTTTTTTGACGCGGTGGCATTTCCGTAATTAAGATGGAGAGCTTTATAAGTTATGATTTATTGGTTATAAGTTACTATATTCAGTCTATAAGTTTACTGCATTGTAAGATTAGATGCAAATCCAATGGCTGAGATTACTTCTCACTTCTCATCTTAAGGAGGACTTCTCACCTGATCTTTTCTCTATATATACATCTATCCCAAATTGATTTACAAATTTGACTTTTCTTGGTCAAACAGTTTCATTTTATTTGCTTAATTAGGATGTCAATTTTTATTTATATTCTAATTTGAAGTTTGCAACATTGAAGAGATTTCGATATAGATTCTGAATATGTAAATTTTAATTAGTAAAAATTTAATCAATTATCAATTTAGAGGATTGACTTTTATTGGCGATTAACCCAAAAATGTTGAGTTTGCAAAACAATTTGGGACGAAGGGAGTAGTAGAATTTAAACACTACTACGTATAATAATTTCCAAATTTGGCAGTTATTACTAGTATTTAAGTAAAAACTACTCCTGCACCTCGTAGATAGAATCTCACGCTGTTTACGATGTGTGGTTGATCATCAAATTAACTCCTCTCTATTCTTCCCAAATTGAGTTGCAAAGTTGACTTTTACGGGTAAGCCATATTTATTTTATATTCACTTAATTAGGAGTATCATTCTTAATTAGATTTTAATTGGATTTTGCAAGTTTTCATAATTACATAGATTTTAATATTGGTTGATAAAAAAGTTGACTTTGCAACATAATTTGGGACGGAGATAATATAAAATAATTTGAAAACTACATAAAATATAATACGTATTTAAAAACTACACTAATAGTTTTATAAAGCCGCTAAAAACTCAATTTGATAAAATTGGATATAAGTAGTATAAAATAAAAGACTAAAAGACTTTACCTCGATCACAGTGGAAGAAAATCTTTGTATAAGACGTAGATAGTACGTACGTAGTATGAAATTCGTATGTGGTAAAACCAAAATGTTTTTATTTCTGTTTCGTGAATTTTTCTTGACTGTTTTTATTATTTCTTAATATGTGAATTTTCATGTTGATAATAATCTCAGTTGAATCCGGGTGCGTGCTTATCAGCGACTGACGCAATAAAAGGGTCGTGCAAAAGCGAAGGGCGTTCGTGGTACACCAAAGGCTGCCCGAGCAAATACGGAGCGGTCGCCGTCGTAATCCTCGGAATGTACATAATATCCTACTCCCCGGGAATGGGGACCGTCCCGTGGATTGTCAACTCCGAGATATACCCCCTCCGGTACAGAGGAGTCGGCGGAGGAATCGCGGCGGTTTGTAACTGGGTGTCCAATCTCATCGTCAGCGAGACTTTCTTGACGTTGACGGAGGTGCTGGGCAGCTCCGGGACATTCCTCTTGTTTGCAGGGTTCTCTCTCGTCGGGCTGGTGGCCATTTACTTCCTGGTGCCGGAAACCAAAGGGCTGCAGTTCGAGGAGGTGGAGGAGCTGCTCAGAGAAGGGTACTCCCCTTTCCGCAGAAAGAAATCTCAGAACCAACAGGCGGCGGCTGTGGGTCGGAGTAGTAGCAATGTTCAAATGATGAGTCTTTAGGCGGCGGCGACATTTCTTCATCAGCTTAATTAATTGCTTGCCCTTTAATTTTATCTTCTGTTACATTATAACTCTACAATAAGATCAGCCAAGACAGAGTTTTACGTTGGAAGGGCACAATCTGCATCCAGCGCAATGATGGTTAGTTGTGGCCGGGTTTGGCTTGTATATGCAAGTAATGTAACAGATCCATCAAATAAAGAGGAAGAAATTACTCAAAGTAACAATTGATAACATTCTAAAATACCCTGAGTATGTTTTGTTTCAAAAATATGAGTATATGAGTGTTATTTCAAAAAGAAACAATGATAGTGTTGTTTGCAAAACAGAAGTAAAAAACAATATAAAATTTCAAAACATAAGTTATATTGGCCTTTGTCCCTAAATTAGTGTCAATCAGTCATCATGAAGTTTCAATGTCACAAGATTGTGAATTTTGGCATGATCAAATAATTTTAGCTTATAAGCTACCTTTCCCACCTTTCTTATTATTTCAAAAGGCCCACAAAACTTGAGAGCTAGTTTCTCATGACATCTTTAGACCATAGATTGTTGCATGTAATGCATGTCACGCCCCGGACCTACCCGGAAACGTCAACAACCCGCCGTACAGTACGAATAGTCAATCGCAGTCCGACTCATCCATACTATACAAGGCGTCTTGAATACCATTCACACATAGTACATCCATAAACAAACATAATGTAAAATAAACATTTATAGCAGCGGAAACATTTAACATAAGTGTTTATGCCACACCTTGGCAAACACGGGCGTACAAGCCCCCAAATAATTATTCAAAAAACAATATCCATGAGCATTATTTAAGTTGTTTTCAAAACAGAAACGGAAGAAGCACGAACCACGTCTTCTTCCTTTGATCTTCCCGGAGCAACGGACGATGGCAGCAACCTTCAAGTTCTACCTGAAACTGTGAGGTGGCCTCCCCCGTGAAGGGGAGGTCAGTACTTGGAAATATTTGACAAGTACAATAGCAACTATACTAAGTATAATTGATGTTTTAATTTCTAAGACCCTCAACTTAGGGTACTATTATATTATAGGTCATAGCCCTCGGTTACCCCTTTTTCTTTTAACTGTACTTACTTTAAATAGAGTCAAGTAGTCGGCCCGTGGGCCCATATTCATTTAGAATTCATCATTTCCATTCCCCCGTGACCGCAAGTCACGATAACCCCATGGGGTCCCATTGAGCCCCAATTGTATAGCATGGGCTCGACCCAACTACATTTCTATACAATCCTCTAACTCAACATAACATCTCAAAATTTGTATGGCAAGGGCTCGGCCCAACTACGTTTCCATACCAACCATAACTTCGTGGCAAGGGCTCGGCCCAACTACGTTTCCACGGAGATCACATATACATGGCAAGGGCTCGGCCCAACTACGTTTCCATGCTAATCATATTACATGACATGGGCTCGGCCCAACTACATTTCCATGTCATCCTAGAGTCCAAATCTAATTATTTTCATAATCAAATTCTCAAGCAAATCCTATGCCTAGAAACAATTTCTGTATGTAGCCTTTAGGCCTACCCCTATCACACCTTAGTGTTCATACAATTCAACCTTAAGGTATCCCTTGAGACTACTTAAGGCATATCTATCCAAATCCTACCTCTTAGGATTTGTCTCATCATTTCTTTATATCAATTTCCCGACTAGTATTTTGATACTAATTGGAAAATCTTAGAACATGCCAAGTTCCTATTTTCCGATTGGCATTTCATTTCAATTGATTTCCCAACACAAGTATAATTTGATCTCAATATCAAAAATATCACTTTAATCCATTCATGAATTTCATACATGACGTACAGTATATCTTATCACAATGTCATCATGGTATTTTCATTAACATGCCGTTCCATTCATTTCACATAATCATACACAATTATTCTAAATTTGTATATCATGCTTCACTCACTCATATCAATATTATTTTCATTTAGGCATTATTAATCATTAATAATCCATGAAAATCCCATCTAATTACTTTAGGCAATCTTATGAAATTAACCCACTAATTATAAGCAATATAGTCAGCCATCCTCACCTCGTGATGTGCTACGATAGTTGCCTTTGTTAAGCCCCTCGATCAATCCCCGTTCTAGGCCGATTGAAAGTGAAAAGCTGGATTTCTGGGCCAAAGCCGGGCGGCTTTCGTAGTCTGCAACTACGAACAGCTCCCCTATATGTGGTGGTTTCCGGCGATTTCGACTCCTATCGATTCACCAACTCTTCTAAGTTAATTAACACCACTTTATATCAATATTCTACACTTTTAAACGTGTAGAACTCAAGGTTTAATCCACCATATGATTTCTTAAAAATCATACAATAACAAAACTAGTTAAAGATTATTTATTGAGTTCTCACCTCAAAAGCAACCCTCTTCTCTTTGGATTCTCTTCCTTGCTGCTTGGACTATGAGAGGAGACTTCCCTAGAGCTTCTCTCTCTGCCTTGGTCGAGTGAATGATGTCAAATGGAAGGGGGAAACATCTCCCCAATCAACTCTCAAGATAATACATGTGTATGGGCCCTTGGGAGTGATTTCTTTGTCTTGAGCAATCTCCTCACTAATGAGTCCGCACCTCCCATGTTTGAATGTCCCCTTCTGCTCTCATTCAGTCCATAGGGACGTGGGGTGGCCCCCACTCATGTGGGCGGTCATCCATTTAAGTCCCGGTGTGTATAATCGGCCCCGAAAGTTGTATTTCTCGGACTATTTTAGTCATATTTTATTTTATCGGGCCAGATAAAATATATCACGCGTTCCCAATAATTATGGGCCTTTAGAATAGATATATGTTCCCCAACATTAATTTAGGAGTCTCCGAAACTCATTTCGGGCTGTTATCCGCTAAATTACCAATATCGGTAATTGGGCCCCGTTTGACCGACCGGTCAACTCCATGCCTTTCTTATGGCCCAAATAGAATATCCACCACCATATAGATGTCATCTAGACCAAGATGAATATAATATGTGGTTCGGGAATTATCGGGCGGTCCCCGTTCCCGCTGTGGGCCCCACATGCAATTTACTATTCACGTAAAAGAAATAATAAAATTTAACAATTACGTAAATTCATAAATCATCTTTCGAGGTTTATTACATAATTTACTAAAAGTAAATATGCTTGGGGACGGTGCTACAAGTTCACCCCCCCTTAACGGGAATTTCGTCCCCGAAATTCACAACGATTATTCAAACAGAAATGCATACTGTTCCTTCATCGAGGCTTCAGTCTCCCAAGTTTCTTCTCCAACTCGGTCACTCTTCCAAAGGATTTTAACCATTGGAACTTTCTTGCTTCTTAGCTTCTTTACTTGCCTATCAAGTATCCTTACCGGTTGCACGTCGTAGTTCAAGTCTTCCCGTATTTCCACGGGTGATCTTTCTAGTACATGAAATGGATCCGGAATATACTTCTTAAGCATAGACACATGGAATACATTATGTATTTTCTCCAATTCCAGAGTCAACTGTAATCGGTATGCTACGGCCCCAATTCTATCAAGAATTACAAATGGCCCTATGTAGCGTGGGTTAAGTTTCCCTCGGCTCTGAAATCGGATGATTCCTTTCCAAGGTGAAACTTTCAAAAATACCTCATCTCCAACCTTAAACTCTAAAGCTCTTCGGCGCTTATCGGCGTAGCTCTTCTGTCTATCCTGTGCCGCCTTAAGTCTGTCACGAATCATCTTCACCTTTGACTTGGTGATTTCCACCAGTTCCGTGCTCTCGAGTTTGGCCATGCCAACCTCATCCCAACACAAAGGTGTACGACATCTCCTCCCATACAATGCCTCGTTGATGCACACTAATTAGTAGTGCATAATTATATGTTTTTATGTTTGATTTATGTTGATTGTTTGACATTTTATTTAGTTTGTAAACATTTATGTGATTTCAGTTGTAATTGTATTTTATTCTTTATTTATAAGTTGACCCGGTCGGGTACCCGGCCAAAGGTGTTGAAAAACACCTATAAATAGCACTCTTTTTCTTCTCTAAAAGGCAATCCCTTCTTCCATACTCTTTAGCTCAGTTTAGAATAGCATTTCTTTATATTTTTCTAGCTATGTTTAGTCTCCAAATGAGGAGCTAAACTTCTATTCTTGGTGTTGCTCTTGAAGCTTGTTGATTATTAAAGTTGTGAGTTATTTTCTTAACTTCTTTCCTTGAATATTAATTGATAGTTCTTTCCTTAATATCATCTCTATATTAATGTTGGGGAGTGTTGCTAAGATGACAATTAGTTAACATCTCGACATTAGTTAGAATGGTATTTTCTTCCTCTATATTAATATTGAGGAGTGTTGCTAAGATGACAATTGGTTAACATCTTGATATTAATTATAGTAGGATTCATCTTCATTAATAATATTCTTCCTTGAATATTAATTAATTCCTACTCTTATTTCATATTAATATTTTGAACATTACTTAAAGGATCAACTAGTTTTGTTTCATATATTAATTATTACTAGAAACGATCAACGAACCGATGGTTAATCGTTGATGGTTTCACAAGTAAGTAACTTCGGTTTATTAATGCACGGTCGTGGTTAATAAACTTAAGAGGGATTAATTTTGTTGGTTAAACCGAAACCGCTTGTGTTGAGGTTATCAATCTCAATTGTTTTCATCAAGGAGTTAGAAAGATTAAATGCTACTATTAAATCGGTATAAGGCGTTGTTCTATATTTGATTAATAGTAAGGGTTATTAATGAACGGTCGTTGTTAATAACTACCCTCGATGAAGTGGATATACTCCCCGATTGAGTATTCGAGAGGGAATAAGTTATAGATATCACAATGATCGACTAAAATATATCAACAAGTGGAAAGTAGAAATGCCAAGTCCTTTTTATCTTTGAATTAAACACTTATAGGTTGTTCATCTTAGTTCTTAATTAAATTAAATCACTCAACTCAAATCCCCCCTTTTATTTACTAAGTATCATAAAAAGAGAATTATTCTTTTCCCTGTGGATACGAACTCTACTACGCTATACTACGTATAAGTGTTAGTATTGAAAATTATTTTGACGCACCGTGACAAAGTGCTCGTCAAATTTGGCGCCGTTGCCGGGGAAAGGCAATTATTTTTCTTTTTATTTTATCTCATAAAAATCAAAACAAAAAAAAATATAAAAAAAAATTAT